TTCTGAAATAGGAATAAAGGTCAGCTTACGAATAAAGAAGCGTCAAAGTATCTGCAGAAATAGGAATACGGAACGACTACGATGCCAGGGCAACGCCAGGACTCGCGATCCGACTCTGTACATTATCAGGCCAGTGTGGACTCCAGATAATGTGCGTTCACTGGCACTTCGCGTTGAATCGTGTGAATAGACTAATAAGTCAATCTCAATAGATCACGATGGCTGATTCCACTTGTTCAACTGTCGCTAGTCTTGCTTAACACAGTCTTTACGATATCTTAGTTTGCTTCGAGGATCAAATGCAAAGTATTGTTCGGATCAAAAATTTGTCCTAAACATATTGTGAAACTAGCCGTATTTCTGGAATAAGTATTCGGTCATCCTAGGTTACTTAGGCGGACAGTGGAGTTTTGGCAAGCATCACAATGCTACTTCATTTGATTTACTACTGAAGTGGTTTGACCTGGTCTTCACAACCGGGCCCTGTTGTCAGGGCGAAATAGATGAACGCACTTTGTCCAAAGGCTTGTGTCATAGTGGCCATGATAATTTCCATCTACGGACAGTGCACTTGGCATATTTAACTATCGTTCCTTCATCAGTCCTGTCCAGATCTATTTCGTGCCTTCGAAGATATAGTTGTTATCTACGCTAGTTGGCTGATTTCACTTGAGGCGTTACTTCTGATGCATATGAGAGAAAACCTAATTGTAAACGAAAATTAAGTTAAACGTAAACACGAAAAGCAAGATGTTGTGGCCTTTATTTTGGTCGCAGTCTTAATTAAATTATATGACATGTATTCACCCAATTTCGTTTAGGGTGATGAAGGACTGGTAGAAGAAAAATTTTCTCTCAACTCTTATCATTGTGGGGAAATTCTTCTACCAGTCCTACATCACCTTAAAACTAAATTGAGTGGATACATCTCATATTACTGATTTACTGGTAGTCTCTAAGCAATACTTACTGCGAAATAATAAAGTATAGTAGTCGATTGTGATAGCAAATATACGTTTGCTTCATCGACAATTCCATCAGAGAATATGATATGGCAAAAAGGCCTGGCCTTTCATGAAAATGCACATTTGTCCTGTGACCCAAAAGGCGCTCGTGGCAGTGTAGCCAAGTGGTTAGCATGTCAAGCTCCCATCCTGCACTTTCGTGGTTCGACTCCCGCTAAGGGTTTTGATAAGACAGATGCAAGGTCGAAACTGCAGTCCACCCTGTATGAGAAAAACTTTTGGGAAAGCAAGGTTATGTGAAATTCAATGGAAACGTCTGCTCAACTCATATTATTATGGGAAAATTCTTCTTCTTCCAGTCCTTCATCACCTTAAACGAAATTGGGGGAATACATATCATATAATTTATTTACTGGTAGTCTCAAAACTGCATATATACGAAAAATAAGTAAACTTTTCATTTTTAGAGCTTGTTTGATCTTGTTTTCGCAACTCGTTCATATTGGTAGGAAGACTTAGAAGAACGCACCTAGTGTGCAGTTCAGTGTATGCATGATCATTTCAAAAGTCGGACCGTGGACGTGGTATAGGATCATGCATACACTGGACTCCGCACTAAGTGAGGAAAGGATACTGCGACCACACAAAAGGCAACAACATCTTGGTCTTCATACCTTTTTAATTAATAATTTTATTTTCGAGACAACCAGTATATTATTCATGTGAAATATATTCTAATTATACGAAGAAAAGTTGGGTTTCGAGGAATCTCTTGTTTCATAATTGTTGAGCTTACTTTCATTTCTAGTAGAAGTTTTGGTTAAAGAGATTCAAGGGTCGGTTCCACCAGAAGACGAAGGCGAATTTCTCTTGAACAGCTGTCGATTGGCTTTATTGGAATATTCATGCTGACGCTGTTTCCGAGGCAATCTCCTTCGATTCCGGTGAAAACAGGCTAAGCTTTTACTTTTGCCGGTGAGTTTTCTTGACTCGTTAGCTTGAATTTTGTTGTGACGATGTTACCTCGCTCTGATGATGACCGTCATATGACGGACGTAAGCTTAGCACGTTTTTACCGGAATCGAAGGAGATTGCCTCGGAAACAGCTTCAGCATGAATATTCCAGTAAAGCCAATCGACAGCTGGTTAAGATGAATTCGCCGTCGTCTTCTGGTGGAACCGACCTTCGAATATATTCAACCTAGTTTGTTTATGTGATTAAGGATAGATGAAAGTAGTAGAAATTTCCCACAATGTTATAAATAGACCTTATGTTTCTATTCAATTTCACATAACCTTTTCCCCCACAAGTTCCACTCGTCCAGACTGGAGTTGACTTAAATCTTGACTTCGCCTGATTTTGTCCCATCAGCACCACCAGCGGGACCCTAACCCAAGGTTGCTTTGTGCAATGTATAATCCTGACACGTTAGCGACCTTAAATGAAAGATGATGAATAAATCTCACGAATAAGCAAAGCTATCGCTAATTCTGCCTCCCTCTAATCTCATATTCGGTAAGGTTCCTTCAGCAAGGTTAGTGATGTTCTCACTAATCTTGCGTTGCTATGTCATTTCTTCTTATGATTTCGTACTTAATTTGTGCAGTGTTTTCCGATATTTTTGATCTCTTTGCATCCGCTTTTGTGTAGAGCCCTTCTTGTTGCTTGACCGAATTTTGGTTTGTCTTCCTATTTCGCTAGTATACTTTTGTTCACAATCGCTGCATGCTATGAAATAAGCTTTTAAGCAATGTGATTGGTTCAAGTTTTTATATTGCCTGGATAATCTTGTCGAGAATGTGGTCTTTTTCTTTTTTAGTCACCTGTATATTTCATTTTCTTAATATCGGTCATATTTTATGAGTTACTTTTTTAAGGAGGGAGGCATATCCACCGTTACTCTATTCTTGTTTTCCCGACCATGCCATTGGCTTTGCACTGTCTTATACTTCTTTCTATGATTTATATTGAGTATCAGTTGCCGTAAAACATTTGAGTCAATTTGACCAATTATTCATCCCAGAATTCCATGTATATTAGTCTTAGGCTTCCTTAAATGATTCTCCTCGTTATTCAGATCTCACTTTACAGTTGTGATCGCTATTCAGTATTATTCCTGAATAAAACTTCTTTCAGAACAAGCTTTTCTTGAGTGTCTCGTTTGAACGAATGTATTAACATCCAGAATCAAGCAGTAACCTATCCACCTTTACCTCTACTGTAAAGTTGATAATTTTCTTAATCAGCTTCATAAACCTAAGAAATTCGTCTTAATTTTATCTTTCATGCGAAAAAAGTTCAAATTAGTAATTCAGATACTTCAAGAGAACCCCTCATTACAGAGCTGATGTCTCAAACTCCTTTTCTGATTTATTCATATATAGGATTGGCAAAATATGGGGGAGCAGAGATCCCATAGAAAGCCTCAATCTTCCTTTATATATGTTGCTGCTTGATGCGAAGTAGGTGATCCTTGTTGCCACAATTGTTCTATAGATAGTTGGTCGAGAAGTGGACTTCAATTGTCCATTTTACGAGTTGTGTTGTGTTGATAAGTCTGGCAAATCTCATGGACGATATCGATTACGATACCGGCTTAACGTCTTGGAATGCTCCAAATATATGGCTCGACGTTGGAAATTATAATATCTACTAGTGCAGACGACCCTGGACAGAGTGCATTTATCTCCGTTCCTCTGACAATAAGATCAAGTTGTGAAAGGAGACTGCGGCCAAAATAGAGGTCATACCACCTTGGACTTCTTAGCTTCGATTCCTCGGAACCCAACTTTTCTTTTCATAATTTGGTCTTGCCCCTCGAAGGTTTTTTAGATTCTTAGTGAAGTACCGAATCGACAGTATTTATGCCTTATGATCACTCTCAAAGGAATTAAAAACCGGTTTCTCCCTATCGTAAAGACACTTTTCAATGCCTCAACACAGCCACGAATGCTAACGAGTCATAGGGCAGATGGCACGGTATTAAGGCAAGTAGAATTTTGTTATTAAAACCAACGGATTTACGGAGTTTTGATCTGATTATGCTTAAAAATTATGATTTAATCATGAATAAGAACTGAGTTACCCTGGTTAGCTGAAGGTGATTCAAGGCAATTTTATTCTGCTTTTAATTAAAGCTATACCTCAACACATCTTAGTTGGCACTTAATGACTCAGAAATTTAACCAGTCATGTCCATGGCATTACACAACGCTGGGATTTCTCAGCGCAGAGGACTTCGGCAAAGTTGCGTTAAACTAGGTCGCCCTGACAACACGCCCAATTTGCGAAGACGAAATCAAACCATTTCCATCATTTATGCAACTGCTCACAATGGAAGGCCAAACAAATCCTATTCATCACAATTCCTAGGCAGAACGATGAAATTCACATCTCGAACGCCTTCCTCCTCAGGAGGTTGTCGATTTTGCGAGCATTGTTCTTCACCAGATTGTCTTACTACTCACTTCAACCAGTCTAACTCGCCTGGCCCTGATAATTGGCTCAATATAGGCGAGTCGAGCAAAGCCTTCTGCAGCTCAAACCGTGGCAGCTCAAGTTAGCTCAGGTCAGCGTATCGATCGGCCATTCTGTCACGCGTGTTCAATCCTGCCTTTTGTGCCTGGTTCTCTCGCATGTCTACACTCCAATGGGACCAGAAGTGACCAGCCACGGCCAATTCGAGTCACCTATTCATCACTCTCAGTCTCTCGACTCCCTACCAGATGCGGCCTGAAATTCGAATATTTCAGATCGATCCGACCATGCCTCAAACAGGTCTTCCAGATTGTGGGAACGGCAAAATGGGAGTAACATTTACAGCCTAGTCCGCCTGTCAAGACGTGACAGAACCAATTTATTTTCACTTTTCCACACTCTTCCTGCCTTGTTTGTGTGTCTACCTGACTCCACGTCCATAGCAAATCTGTACCATTCGTTCACTTGCATTTTGGTCCCATATTCTTGCATCATCCTTGTCACCCTCTCGCTTGGAGCCAGTCCTGGGGGGCCGAATTACTCGAAACAATAAAGTTACAGAATTTCTTATTTATCTGATAAACTCCGATATTCAAGAGTTGATGGGGCGACCTGAAATGGGTATTAGCCTTCTTTTGCCCGCTTAAAACACAAGAAAGCGAGATAGATAAATAGAAAACGAGAAAGATTGAGAAATAAAGGAAGACATTCTCATCCTCGGTATCAGCTATCATCAATGCAGGGGTGGAGGCGGTATTAGGTAAAATTATCGTTGATAATCGTGAGTCTTTTATCGCATATATTTCCTTTCTATAATGAGGGTGAGTTTTGAAATGAAATTTATCCCCCAGGCTTGATTAGTTTGTTAATTTGCCTTTATTCTTGTCTGTCAGGCTTGCATGGCAGAAATTAAGTTACACTTAAGAGCATTACGCATTTAGTCGGCAATTGTATTGGGGAACTGGAGGCTCGAGACAAACTCATTGACCTGGATTGTTGACCTCAAACGACGAAGAGCATATAAATAATAAAAATATTTTTCTTGCAAAACAATATTAAGCACATGGTTAACTCTAATCCTCAATAGCATAATCTATTTGAACAGATATGACCTCATAATTCGCCTAAAAGAATTCACTGTTAAAAACGCATAGTCTGGCCCTCACGCTTTCATTTCCCCTCAAGTGGAAAAACTTTCAAGTGCGACTGGTTTTACGAGCTCATGAGATGCTGAATAAACTCGGCTTCCGGTTTGTCGTGGGTGCACTCAGTTCTCCTTTGCTTAAATCACAGCAACCTCCTGTACACCTTCCCCCCTCCGGCCTGCTTCCATGCAAAGATTCGGTATATCAGGCAACATACATTTACGATGAGCAAGTCGACATTTTCGACAAAGCCTCATCATTTCACTTTGACCGAGGTCATCCTGTAGCTGCATTCACAAGGTTATCCCATCAAAGAGGTAGGATGGGCAATGCATTAAGGAGGGCAGCGGCTCAAACTACGAATCGGCCAAAAGTCGTCGTCCTTGAGCTTGAAATGCACCAATTCTAAGCGTTTTTCCCTCCGCCTCGGAATCTGCATCATGAAATAGGTTTCAAGAACTGATTTTGCCATGTACTTTCAAATTACATCTTTCGCCTGATACAATTTGACTTTCGAATTGTTTAATTCTATTTCGGATTTTAGCCAAACTTTGTTTTAGAGAAATACGCAAAACTTCTTTTATATAAGCAAAACTGTGTTTGAGC